TCAGTATGGCGGAACGAACTGAGCGGTCCTCTGAGAACGGCCAAGACGCTCCTGTCGGTGTTTCATGCAATGATGAGCACAAATAAGCGTCACATAATTAAGGTACTTGTTTGTCTAATTTGTGTTAATTAATGCTAAAAGGGCACTAATTAATTAAGGCAGTTTTAACACTGCTACGTATAATTGTTACCGTTGAGATTCCTTCGTTTTGAAACATTTTTTGTAAATCTCACTATTTGGTCCTGAAAAATTATTTTGTGGTTTTTTATCAGCTGAAACGCAATGGATACATCTCCTAAAAATACTTGGCAAGTTTGTTGATGTTAAAGATTATTCAGATCATGAATTATAGATAATTTACACTGGGAGGAAAAGTCAAGGTTGATTCAGAGTGACCCAGTGACGTGTGTACAACATTTTGGTTACCAAATCAATCAGCTTTTAAGGCGCTTTCTGATAAGCAATGTTGCTCCCTTAGGAAAAATAGGTTATGTGAAGGTAAACACACAGCAAGTGATGTTGTAAAATTGAAAGAAAGAGTTGTGCAAGAAGACACAAACAAGCCATTTGATGCACCCCACCTATATAAACAAAAATAATCCAAACTAAGGTAGATTAATTTAATGATGAAGTACACAATGTAGCTATAGGAAACAAATACAGAATCACAGCACTAGACAGTGGTATTGGAGCTAACTCTTCTGAGGTTTGAGGAAAAATATTAAGACAAATTTCAAATGATCCAAAAAAAACTAAGCAATTGGTATTGAACCTCTACTCTTGCTGAAGGTGAATTCAGCTTGTAATGAATATGTGAACTGAAGATAGCATGACAAATGCATGGTGCTGAGAATATCATTAAATTTGTGCAACTAAATCAGCAAAGCAAACACTCAGGCATAGTTTGGGTACAGTTTGATCACTCAGATTTTGGTAAAAAAAATAGACATGAGAACAGACATCTCTATACCCAAGGAATTTACCATAGGGCATGGACCCCAGTAAAACCAGTTACCATACAAGTTTTTCTTGGTAAAAACAAAGCAACTCAAGTTGTAAGAAAACAGTTTCCATTATACCCTGCAGCAGCAAAAACAGTTCATAGATCACATGGGGATACTGAAACTAAAAGTGTTGTCAACTTAAGTAGTAAGAGAACCATTCCACATGTACACTCTGTGGCACTAAGTAGAATTACCACCTTCGAAGGTTTATGTATAACTGATCTCTGTGAGGACAAAATTGTTATCCATGCCACTGTTGAGAAAGAAATTGAGTGATTAAAGGCCCATTTCCAACTGAGATGCCTTGCGTGCCCGGATCACTTTTCATATATGAAAAATACACCATTTTCCTCGTAGTTGTGGAATCGCTTTGATATCTTCTTGCATCTTACTAATTATAGGGATTTCAAAGTTCCATCTTGAATCATGTGCGAACAATAAACTATCGTAGTTTTGATATCAGTAGTTTTTAATTCTTACATGTATGAAGGTGAAAAACATTATCTGAAAAGTTGATGCCACCGAAGAAGCAGTCAAGAGGAAGGCTGAGTCTGCCCCGCTCGGCAAAGGTTATTCGACTTCGAGAGTCTGTGTATGATTTTATGGAGGGCAAGGAAAATAACCATGGCTTTTGGCAACACTACAGACAGTGCTTTTGCAGAAATGCTATTGCATTGTTCCTACGATGGAACGAGAGACTCTGGGGATATTTTTTTGAGGTCATGAGAATAATTATTTGACTGATTTTTACGTGAGATCCTGAGATATGTATGAAAGCGATCTCATTTGTACAAGTCATTATTCTATAATTGAAATGAGTAAAGTAAATCAGTTTTAGCTAATATTGGTTATTAATGTTTGTATTTTCTTTAATTAGGGCTGAGGCCGAACGATTTCCTTCAACATCAGGTAAGCTTTTATACAGACAAGTATACAAGTTTTATACAGACTCGATTTATGATTTTTCAGTCTCAAATATTTAGCTGCAAAATTTTTTACTGTGTTCTTCACTAAATCTATGTTTTTCTTTTTAATAGTGTCTGTGAATGACTATAGCAGTAGCCTCCCAGCTATGTCCACTCCAGTTCGTGCAGATGGCCCTCAGTGCCCAGTTTTGCCTCCCCTTCAAAACAGATTGGAACGTCAAGCACAGTCTCTGACAGGTACTATTTTTGAAAAATGGCAGTTATTAAAAGAATTTGGCACAGGGTTTTTAAAATGTATATATATATATACATGCTTGTAAGCTTGTAAGGGGTCCCACAAACATTATGCTGATCAGTCTCAAATGCGCTCCCTGGAGGATCACTGAAGCGATCGTGGGCTCTTGAAATAACGTAATTAAGAGCAGAAATGTAATGGTCAAGAGGCCAACTCCTACATTGGAGTTGGCCTCTTGACCATTACAAGGCATACCTTGCTTTACACTCGCGCATGAGGGTGATTGTTTCCATCAATAAGTTGGTCGAACTATCCACAGACACGTGCTTTCATTAGTGGAGGGAAAGTTTGTGGAGAAGTTCTCTGTGTAACACAACATGTGACTTCCATTGGAACACGAGTTGAGATCACAAGGAAATGTAGAAATGGGCACAGCCAAAAGTGGATCACATCAGAGGTCCTGGGAGCAAAGCACAATTCAGATTTTTATCTTAACCCATTGCCACTTACGTGTAACACGTGCCGAGGAAAAGTCAAAATTTTGGAGAAACCAAGAAGGCAAACACAATGCGCAGTAAATTTTTAAAAATCAGCTTTTCCAAAAAACAAGCTCCAGTGAAAGAGGACTAATTAAAGAACTTATTTCCGGCGAAAAAAGCGATAGGTGCATATTATGTTTTAACTCAANTGATTCCTAACAGATAATTTACTTCGTTTTTGTCGCAGGCTGCTCGAGTTAAAGGATGTGAATCACTTAAAGAGTGGATTGATGATATTGTGAGTCATTTTTGGTTTTGCTGCCAAAACTGTGAAGGACGTGTCGGTGAGCTAAAGGTAAAACAATAGAGATTTTTTTGATGTACTCCTCAATCAAAAACTTTACAATTATAGACATTAATACTCCTTTCACTACAATTGATTACACTTGCTGAGTCCTCCCTAGGCAGTGTGTATGTAGTGTCCTCTTCTTTGGTAATGCTTAATTATAAAGGATTCAAATCTGACAACATTTTTACAAGTGTTTCCCAGCCAGATGTACTTTTCAGTTACACGTCAAGTCATGGGAATGTTTGAAACCTCCAAATCAACAATACTGCATACTTTTTGTGTCTACTGAGTGGCAGGTTAGACTATTTTGAATCATCGACTTGCAGGAAGTTTGGTCTGGGGTACTACATCATGTTCGTGATGAGCATAAATGGGCAGAAGGTGAATGCAGGCATTCCCCAGAGGAGACACCATCAAATGGAAAGACCTACCTGAAGAATCTTCAAAAGCTTTGGCAGCTTTAAGAAAAGTGGTCCTAGATAAAAAGTGGCTTAGTAACTTGGCATTCTATGTTCGTTTCAGGTTCGTCTCCAGTTCTATCACTAACCGTACAATCTTATTAGGTCATGAGCAGAAGTTAAAACTGCAATCAGATTGGGGTAATTAAATATATGGTACTGTGAGTGGGAAGGAGAATACCACTACACAGTCAATTAACGGATTTTAGTTATGTTTCTTTCATTCCTCTAATATCAGTGGAATTTAAATTTTTTTAAGCCTAGATGGGAGAGCGAATTTGGTTCACAAGATCATCAGGTTTCAGTAATCAGGGATAAGTAATTGTTGTACAACTGAATGTAAGGAAGAATCACAGTATGAGATTTATTCTTTTCTTTGGAGGGTTGGGGGGGGTACAAGTCAAGTAGGCAGACCATTGTCTTAATTGATTAGTTGTATGATCTGTGTTTCTTGTAGGCACACAAGTGTTCTTGAAAGCTACAATAGTATGCTGACAAAATATGCTCCCAAGAGAAGGCATTTGAGTAAGAAACTTAGAACTTACATTTCAAGTGACTCGTATGATGATGATTATTTATAGTGGACCGGCTCTTTTGAATTGATCATGTTAGTAGTAAGAGTTGTGTAATGTTAATTTGTAGTCATAGCTGAAAGAACCCAGTCTTTTGACTTGGTGTTTTTTAGGTATCCTTACTTCATCATGCGTATTATGCTGGCTGCCATCGACCACAATATGCATCTTTGTAGAGGGCAGCAACTGAATGCAGCTGGAGAGGAGCGTGGCCACAGAAAGTACTCTAAGCGCACACAAAAATTCCATGCAGAGACTGTCAAGGAAGAGAAAGCTGGGTACTCCTATTTCCCCTTTCTCATGGCCAAAATGTTGAAGGAGCGTTGTCTTCTGAGGGAAGCTTTTCTCAGACAACTGATGACAATGTCTTCAACCCAAAGCAGATTGCTCCCACTATTGCCATGAAGGCAGCACCCTCTACTGAGGAATTGATGAAAGGGCCATCTCGTCTTGCTAAGCCGCCTTTGAAAAAGTGGAAGAGTGCAACTGGGGAAGCAGCTGATCATTTATATTTTTTCTTCTAAAATATTAAACATATTGCACTTATAAAGATGAAACACATTCAAACATTGTTTCATCGTAAATTCCAGGAACATGTTTTAATACCAGTGATCATAATGTCTCTTTGAGAGAGTTATTTTTGCAGAGATAGACTTTATCCAGCTCATGCTTGCATGAAATACAACTGGGTAATTTTTTTTTAATCATAAATTGGGGAGAAAATAACCCTGTCTTTTTTTAAACACTTAGCATGCACTACTTCTAATGCAGAGCATAGAATGGACTAGTTCACAATACAAGTGTGAATGAAATGGGAAAAAAAATATGGGAGTACTTCTTACTCTCTCAGAACTATTTAGCTGTTTCTCTATCCCATATATTGACCATCTGCTGAGGGATATATTCTTCTTATTGACAATACTACACATGAGGGCACTACCCTCCTATTGCCCCGGCCGAGTTTGCCAAACCTCCACAGGACAAACTGTCGATAGGCGGATTTCCTGAAACCCTCCATGGAGAAATTGAATTCATCTGCCCGAATGTCGCAGCAAGCCCTGATGCAAACCTCAAGGCTGTCCCTGTCTAGACAAATATTGTTGAATGCCTGAAATCTTGTAATACAGGTCACCCTCTTACAACAAACATTTTCGATTTCATTCGGCATTGGCCTACACGCATTACATTTGCACCACACGGGAGAATTGTCACCAGGACTTGGAGGGGGAGGTGGAGGTGCATTCTTTTTTTGAAGAAGCTTCTTGGCAAAGTCTAAGCTTCCCCTCCCCATAGCCAAAACATTCCTTAGAAGGTAAGCCATGTCTTCTCTCTGAAGAGGGGCAAGAAATTCCTGTAA